CTCAAAGACATCAATTTTCCTTCTATCCTCCCTAGTCATTTTCCAGCTCTCTGACACATAGCAAGTGATTGAAAAGACCATGGCCTATATCAGTTGCACCTTAGTCTCCAGAGTGACATCATTGCTCTTCAGTACTTTAGAGAGTCTCTAACATCAGGAATTCCCATCGCAATACGTCTTTTAGTTTGCTGGCTGCTGGTGCCAAGAGTGTTGACTGTGAAGCCAAGCAAATTAAATCTGTTAACAATCTCATTCTCTTCATTGCCCATCTGATGCTGCCAATTTGCCCAATGGTGAGAATCTTTGTTTTCTTTGCTATAGTTCTATGCCCACACTTATTGAAATACATGACAAACCTATGTGCAGCATCTGAATTTCAGGAACTGAAAGAAGCAGCAGCTTTGAAAACACATGAGCTTTCAGGTCAGAGAGGACACGAAACAGCAAACGAGTTCACAGTCCACATGAGGCGGACATTGTGGACATCCACGGTGATTCTCCAACTCCTCTAGTTAATCATTTGTTTCCTTCAGTGTTTTAAATAAAAATAAAATAGATTAGACTTGTTTTAAAAATAAAATGTATTTTCTTTTAGGGCATTTCTATGTTTACTAATTAATTGGGCAGAAAGAAAGAACTCCCTTTCTCACTCCCTGATGCACATCATCTCCTCTCCTGTGATCAGCTCCTTGTCATGTATGTGCACACCTGCTTTGCATTTCATCCTTTTTCCTGTGACTGGCTCCTCGTAATATATGTGCATATCTCCTCTGCACAAACACTAAACATACAACCCTGCTTGCCCTACTCACAACCCTAGGAGGAAAGAGTTCTCTCTCTCTCTCTCTCTTCTCTATCTTCTCTCTCTCTCTTCTTTCTCTCTCTCTTCTCTATCTTCTCTCTCTCTCTTCTCTCTCTTCTCTATCTTCTCTCTCTTTTTTCTCTCTCTCTTCTCTATCTTCTCTCTCTATTTTCTCTCTCTTCTCTCTCTCTCTCTCTCTCTCTCTCTCTCTCTATTTGTGAGAGTATGTGTATATGCTTTCAACCCTCTCAGGAGGGTTGAAAAAGGAAAGGTTAAAGAATAGATAGATCAATGGAATAGAATTGAGAACCCAGAAATCAGCCCATCTATTTATGGGCAATTGATTTTTGACAAA